GCCATAGATTCTCAGAGTTGATTATTGCTGCTGTTTCTTGCTCTGCTGCACCGAGATTAGACACTATCTTTCATTTCGCCCTTCCTCTCTCTCTTTCTCTCTTCTTTTCTTTGTTTGTCCTCCCCCTCTTCTTTTTACTTGATCCAGCACAGTAGGGTGACACCATCCTCATGACACTAGTGTTTGTACAGAAGCTGCATAGATCTCCAGTCAAACTTTTTGTCAAAGGTTGGGGTCTAGAAAAGTGCAGCTAATGAGTAAATATCTGTATCTGTGTATTCATTGCGATTTGGGGTCTGTGCCGCTGCACTTAATGGTAAAGCCTGCAGAATGTGGGATAGATTTGAAATAGAAAAATACACTTTGTATCACAAGGTTGTGTTAGGTTGTTAGCTTAGCCTCAAACTAATAAATCATGGCAGATGGAAGAAGGGCAGCCATAAAACCTAAACCTAAATCTTGTGACACTGTTGACAAGTTGCAGCTAATGGAGTATTTGTTAGATGTTAACAACAAGTTGTGTGAAAATTCTGACTACCTTATGACCTTGTGCACATTGCAGCAAATTTAGTGAACCATCCTTTTTGGCTGTGGAAACAGGTCATTTTCTGTTTCTTTAGTAGTATTTCAGTTAAAATATAGTGCTTTCACTGTTACCATGCCAGACCAAAACTCTGAGCATTTGGAGTAAAGTGTGAGATTTGAGCTGCAGTTGAGGCGTCATGTTGTGACTACTGTTTGAAAGTGACAGATGAGTTTTAGTTGCGTACTTGCGTGAGAGTTTCCCGCTGTATTGGCAATCATTGTTGAATGGCTACTAAAAAGAGAACAGAACTGTCTGCTCATTCATTTGCCAAAATTAGTATGGGCTGACAAAGAGCACATCTTTCCTTCTGAAGGAAAACAGGATGAAAGTCTTAAGTCTAGTCTTAAATGTGGAGACGGTGTCTGCCTCCCGGACCCTAACAGGAAGATGATTCCACAGGAGGTGCTGGTGCTTGTACGTGTGATGGCTCAGTGAACCTACACATAATCAAAAGAAGGTAACTACAACATAAGGCCGTACATGATAACTTGTAATCAAACTATAGCGCTGTAAGAATATACATATGAGTGTGGTAGTCTGATGGAGAAGAGCTTATACACAGCTGAAGCTGCTAGGGAAGTTGTTTGTTTTGAGGAGTACATGCTGGATCAGATTCATCTATTAAGTTGTCTTTGTTATGCCCCTTAGGCTAATTGAAACTGTTGTAGCTCTCAAACAACAACAGCAAACTGTCAAGTTTAAAGTTGGTGAAAAAAAAAATGTATTTGTGACAAAATTAGGTTGCATATATTGCACGTTCAGTGACTTTCCCTAAACAGCAACTATGCTTTTATCTGGAAATAGTTACATACAGTATGGTTTCACGAGTGTTCACAGTGTGAGCTCAATCACAGCCCCTCAACCGTCTCCTATTAGTGTGATTGACTGGCATTTCTGTGTTAGTGGGTTATAACTTCCTACGGCAGTTTATTCAGCGGTTTCAGACAGGCTGTCATGCTGATACAAACAGGGCTGACTGCCAGAGAAGCCTACATGCTTACAACAACATTTTGCCTTATATACCTTGTATAGTATAGCGTATCAAGGCTATCGGCCATGGTCTGACAAAGCAATTGTTTGTGTTTCTTAAAGGGGAATGTCACTTAATGAAAGAATTCCAATATGTTATTTCCATGGCCTTGGAAAGTTCAAGAAATATTTGAACATGAGCTACTCTCTCTCAAAGCCATAAACCAGAGAAGGGTGTCTCTAACTCGGGATGTCATAGGGTATAAAGTCTGTAGCTGCTCCTTAGACAATGACTGGGAGCCCTATTTTGTTGACCTACAAAATGTTTGTTGTCTTTTTTACACCTAAATGAGCTTTAGTCTGTTGTAGTGTTCTCAGTGCTGAAACAGAACACGTACCCATATACTCAGAACATTTCCCTTGGTGCTCTCTGTGTCATCTAGAACATCTTTCAGAATTCATTGTCTATGGAGCAGCTCCAGACTTTATAATTTATTAATTTATTAAGTTGAGTTTTAGCACTAGTTTTTGGAAGTGGCAGAGAGATGATCATTTTTACTAGATCATAGGTTTCATGTATAATTTTGGAAAATGGGTGTAGCTCCCCTTTAATGTTTAATATTTTGTTATTCTATGAGATTTTGTGTCGGAATATAAAGTACATACTCTATCAAGGTTGATATCACTGGTACTCATGGTCTTTCCCCCCACCCACCAGTGTTTTATGACACTAATAACCATAAGTCATGGCAAGACTTTTAAAAAGTAGCTTTCTTCCCAGAGAACAACAGAAAGAATTTTGCATTTAGATGTGGTACAGTCGTATTCATATGTGAATGAAACTTGGCAAATAAATGAATTAAAAACAAACAGATGGGGATACTACATAATTTTTTCCACTAATGTCATCCACTTAATTCTATGAACTGAGAATGAGCATTTTACCTCACTTGCCGATCATTGCCAGGCGTTGCTGCAGGTGCATGCACAAGCTTGGGTGATGAATGCAAATGAAAATGCAAAAGATAGACCTATTTACTGTTAAATGATCGCTGCTTAATGTAATAGGTAATCAGCGTACGGATGGTTGAGATAAAATGATCCACACACATCTCTCTGTACCAGCTGAAGGCTTTTTCAAAATATTTTGTTCAAGCTGGGAACATGACAGAGAGTTTCTGACTAAGTCAAGAAGAAAGAGAATTTCAGTACCTGTCTCCTAAAGGAGGAAACATAAAAGACATGCAGAGATTAAAGTTAAGATGATTTTTTAATGTTGCCAAGGGATAAAATGGGGGGGATTTTGGAAGTGTTTTTGAGCTTGAAACATAAACTGTAAAACTGTCTCACCTATTTATTAAAACATAGATGGGTGGGTTTGGAATCTAAGTAAAATTAATTCATTTTATATTGAACCGTTATTTAGCATTGTTTTAAAATGAGTATGCAATTCTCTTTTGATCAATGTTTTAGGAGTAGATATAACTGAAATGCATTCTGTCATTTTCATGGCAAATTATTGGTCTTGCAAAATAACAACAAACAGATTGTCTCTCCAACAGCTCGGCACAGAGCTTCAATGTATGACAGACTGTCACCGTTCTGTTATTTCTTTCTGAATATTTATACATCGTCAGTATGTCATGATGACTTGGAAATGATTCTGTTTGTGTATTTGCACGTCTGTGCATCTATGGTGCTTGTTAGAGAGAGAGAAAGATAGCAAGACGGAGAAAATATAGAGAGTTTATAAAGACCCTCACCGAAACAGATAAATCATTACAAAGGCTTTTTATCAGTCCTCTGTTTAACAGGCAATAAACCACACATCAGATCCACCTGATCACTGGCAAATCATCACCGAGCCTCTTCAAGGCAGTATCTGAGGCATTGTGCAGGACACACACAAACACACGCTCGCACACACACACACACACACACACACACACACACACACACACACACACACACACACCACAGACACTCACAAGCACAACCTCAATGCTCTTCCCACTCATGTGTACATTGGCTGCCAGAGCTGTCTTTGTATCCCATCACCATAACAACTGCCTCACAGAACATCTACAAAAAAGGAAAAAGCCAAAGTGAATTTCTCTCACTCAGTTTGACTTGGAGATGGTGAGAGTAGCGGTCGGCAGCTCCTCGCAGCATGGCAGTGTGGCGTCTATGAGCGAGAAGCAGGCTTGTAGAGGCTAGCAGGCTGCAGATGACTTGGTGTGAAGAGAAAGGGAGTGTGTGATGCGAAATTCGAAAGGTGTAGTGTGTGACTTCTAAGAACGAGGGACATACGGTATATGATGCCGCACATGGTGAGTGTCAAAAATGGCTGCTGTGTTCTGTTCACGTTCTGGCATGTGGGTCTACATGTTTGTATGTGTTGAAGTTTGTTGTATGAAATGCCTTGTGCCAAGTAATTAAGTTGTGCAAATGTTTGTGTGTGTGTGTGTGTGTGTGTGTGTGTGTGTGTGTGTCTGGAGGCTTTTGCACATGTGGATGTTACATAATGACTCACACTGAGAAACAGAGAATGCAATAGTAATGAAAGTTTTCTGTAAAGCTCAATTGGAATATTGCAGATGTTGTGTAATTACATCCTCAGACACATATTAGGCTATCATTGATATTTTATATGTTCAGTATTAAAACATAGTGTAGTAGATTTGTTTTAATGATTTCTATTTTTACTTCATGCCTTTTTTAAGTACAGTACATAGTCATTAGATACTTTCTGGGTATATTAGTATGTCTCAGTACAAGATAGATTGTTGCTTTGATTCTTCAGGCTCTAGTAATCCGTTATGAAATGTTAGTGTTGTTATCTTGCTCATAGCTTCATTTTTCACTCTATACTCTACAGGCTTAAACCCATCAGCAGAGGTGATGAATATTTTTAATCATAAGTCACAGAGGAAATTAAGTGTATTTGTGTGTGTGTGCTATGTGTGTATTAGTATTTGGGTGGGTAGGGTTTGCATGTGAGATTGTGCATGTGTCTTTGCTTGTTTTATTAAAATGACTTTAAACATCAGTGTTAGCCCCAGTGTTGCTCTCAGGCACTGTACAATATTATAGCCATTACATTTGAAGTTAAAATGTGATGTTAGCCCCAGAATCTAATTTTCGTGTCACTGATATCCTAAGGAAAGGTTTCCATTCCTGTATTACTTTACAGCCCTTTCCTTGTCTTTTTTGGTCCATCCTATTATAGCTTATATATCTCCTGCACATGGTCCATTTGCTTGGCATGACAGAACAGAAATAAAACCTTCAAACACAGGAGGAGAGAGCAGCGACTTAAGCTTTCATCTATGAACTGCATTATTGAACATCCCCATCCACACAAGTCTGACATCACCCAATCACAGCTGTCTCTTCCTCTCCTTCCCACCTCCCCTCTCCCGGCTCCCTTGTCTCCCTCCATTAGGCAAACCTGAAGAAGTTCATGGAGTATGTGCAGCAGAGGAACACTGAAAAAGTCTCAAGGTTCCTGGAAAAAGGCCTGGACCCCAACTTCCATGATCCAGACACTGGAGGTGGGGAAGTTTGTGCTAAGAAAAATCCTATCCCTCCCCTACTTTAGTTAATTGTCTTTTTTCAACCTTGATTTGTCTTTTCTATTGTGCGTTTTCTGTCTGTCTCTTTCTGTCTTCACCACAAAATGACCATGTATGGATTTTCTGAAATAAGCCTTCTGCATGCTGAGCAAAGCTGGATTACTCTCTTTGCTAATCTCCTCGCGTTTATGCAAATGTTTGTCCAGCCATAAAGGAGATTTCCCTGTTGGGTGACCTGTTGTCTGACAGAGAGGCTGTGAAGCGGGGGGACATAAGAATGGGTTGATTTAACACCAACAGGAAGCAGTCACTTCAGCAGACAGGAAGGTGACAGTCATGACAGCCAAGGCAGTTATCCAAATGCAGAGTCACTGAAAATGTAAACCCACAGTTTTAATAAGTAGTGGGCAATTTAGTCATCAAATACTGACAGCTTCAATTGTTGGATGTTCATCGTCTAAGACAAGTGCACAAAAATGGGAATGCGCTGATTTTTGATATCGTTTGCTCGCTCATCCTTGGATTTTGCAGAATGTCCTCTGACGCTGGCAGCACAGCTGGAAGGATGTGCAGAGCTCATCAAGGTGCTGAAGAGTGGAGGGGCGCATCTGGACTTCAGAACAAAAGATGGCATTACCGCCCTACACAAGGCCGTGCGCAGCAAAAACCACACAGCGCTTATAGTGAGTCTAACGCACACATACACACGCACACACACACAATCGTAGCAGAAAGCTGACTCATCTCTTTTATTCCTTTTGCTACACCAATTGCCTGCTTGCAAACTTTCCCTGTGGGAAAGGAGAGTTTGCAGGTAGGCAATCTCTGGCACAGCAATTGAGTACAGAGGGTGCTTGAGCAACTACTAAATATGTGAGGCTTAACATGCCCGTTTTGAATGGGCTGGCATACTCATTGAGTGGCCTTGCATGTGTCTGGTTTGAGGAGGCTTGTAACCCTAATGAAAGGATTTACATGAGTCATATAATTGATTTCCTGTTGAGCCAGAACTGTTGAAAATGGAATTGGTTATTTCCGCTCAGTCTTTGTCATTATCCAAACATTCAGTGTCCCCGGGCTGTGTAACATACATAAGCTGTTGCTGCTGTAGGTATAGTAAGTCTTCAAAAGGTCATACTCCAGTTAATCTCTCCAAATACAATCGACAATGGTGTATTCACAAATATTTTACATACGTGTGCTTCAGTACAAGAATGCTTTTAATATAGAGTCCCTCACGCATGATGTTTTTCTGTAGGCTGACGCAGAAGTAAGCATCACACTGGTTCCCTCTTTAAAAAGCCTTTGGGTTTTTTCTGCTGGACTTTGTGTTATTGCTGAAAATAACCTTTGTGGCAAACAAACGTTTATGATAATTACATGTTTTGTTCAGCAAGATAAGCTTCACAAATGAACACCACTTTCATGATTACTGAAGCCTCAATGCCGTCACCAGAAGTAAAAAACTGTTGTCAGGCTATAAACGAACTACACTTTAGTATCATGACCCAACGTCACCACCATTACAAGTGTGTGCAAAGCTGTGCTCGGGGGAGCTCGGTTTGATGGCGTTCTGTAGTCTTATTTAGCCACTTGGTAGCAATCACCTTTTTAAGACACATAGAAGCTTCAAAGTTCACAAGTGGGCTGTTTACTGATGTATTTTTTGTCATAGAACAAAACCTCAAAGTCTCTCTTTGCTTGTGTTAACCACAGACCTTATTTCAGGCATCTAAACAAAAACTCATTGACTTTGAGTCGAGGGAACCAGGAGTGGTAATTGCTAACTCATTTCCGGGATTTAGGACTCATTCCTGGCAGGCTCTATTTCAGCGGTGGTGATTGAGTTGATCAGTTCCACTGACTGAATGATTATTTTGCTAAGGTTCCTGGATTTTATTTTCTCCAAATGCAGGTACTTAGTAATAAAAATATACATTAAATATACACTGGTCTCTTTGACCTCTTCAGCGAGTGATGCAGGAATGAGTCCTAAAACCCGTAAATGGATTAGCATTTTAGCACTCTCAGTTGCTTCATCTGAAAGTCAGTGGGTTTTTGGGTAGATGCCTGAAATAAGGTCTGTTATTAACACAAGCTTAAGAGACTTTCACGTTGTTTTCTATGACATAAAATACATCAATAAGTACCCCACTCGTGAATTTTGAAGGTATTGAAAAACACAGTAGCTGTCAAGTGGCTAAATTAGCCTGCAGATTTCATCACGCTGAACACAGATTAACAGCCTTGTTGTGGTGGTGATGTTAGGTCATGCAACCGTAGTGTAGTTTGTTTAAAGCCTAACATTGGCTTTTTACTTCTGACGATTGCATATACGCTTAAAGAATCATCAAAGAATTGAACAAAATGTGTATGTATCATAAACCTTTGTTTGCTACAGAGCTTATTTTCTGAAATACTCCCAAATCCAATGGAAAAATCCCTTTTTTCATCATCCCTGCAGCACACTACTATTGCATGGTGATGACAAATACAACAAGGACTGGAGACTGCATGAAGTAATTTAAACAGTATTCCTAAAACCTTCAACCTTTCCCTTTTCCCACTAGACGCTGTTGGACTTGGGTGCATCACCTGACTATAAAGACAGTAGGGGGTTGACTCCTCTCTACCACAGCTCAATGGTAGGAGGAGACCCCTACTGCTGTGAGCTGCTGCTGCATGATCATGCACAGGTCGGCTGTGTGGATGAGAATGGCTGGCAGGAGATACACCAGGTAATACACACTGACGCGCACACACACACACACACACACACACACACACACACACACAGATAGAACAGTGATAGGTTGTGTGCAGAATACCAATGTAGGTGCAGGGTAAGAGGTCCTGGCTGTTTTTTTTTTAGTTTCATTGAATTGATTTTTGTGTTTCCCTCAGTTCAAGAATTTCTTTTGTGGTGGTCAAATCCCTTGGGGGGGTCATGTGCTGGCGGGAAGCTCTAGCTTGGAAGAAAGTCATTTTTTTTCCAGTCTAAAGGGTTGGACATTCACCACTTTGGCAGACTCTTCAATCATTCTGCACTTTCAACTGCAGTCCCAAACCAAAGAAATAAATTTAAATATTGGCAAAAGTTTTTGTTTTTCTGCAAACGTATGTGTGTTGGATGCTAACATAAATTTTGTAATTGCAAAACTACTACTTACACATGGCACTGTTGATTTAGTGACCACCCACACCTGTACTTATACTGTAGACACACTCACACATTTTAAATGCTCATTTACTCAGAGATAGGCAGTGCACAAACACTGACGGCTAATGAGGAGTTACTGGGACTTCAGAGTTCATTGATATCAATATAGTTACTCATCGTACTGTTGCTGCAACTGTATCCGAGTGAGTGCCTGGCAGTCCAAGTAGTGGTGTCCATCTGTGTTAAAGGGAAGAAATAGGTTTTGACCTACGAAGAGCAAACAGGGCATATTGTGTACATTTTATACTCACACTGCCTCAAGGCATGCCCTGCTCTGTAAGCATAATGGGGGCTAGTGCCTACATGCTGTTTTTGTTTGTGTCAGGGCTTTTTAGCTTACATCCGAGTAGTGACAGAAAGACACTGGAGGTCTGAAGGTTCTTGTTCTGTGAATGGAACCAAACAGAAACCTGTGGGACTCATCACTTCTGTCGCTGACGCTGAATATGAATAAGTGCTGGGGAAATGTTGAATGGTGACATTTTGCTGTAGTGACAGTAGGGGAATCAAACTAACTCTAATGTTAGATAAATATTAAATAAACATTTACACAAACCTTTTTGAGTCTAATGTGGAAAAACGAAGTTTCATCAATATTTTTTATCATAGGAGATGACACCACACTATTTTTATTTTATCAGTAGTATTTTATCTGTGGCCACTGTAAACATAGTAGCTGATTTGAAGTGAGAAGCAGGAGAAACAGAACTCGGCAAATAAAATTGCAAAAAGAGGCAGCGTGTCAGTCAATATTTTCCCGTCTCCTGCACCAACCTTTCATTACTCGCATGCTCCCCAACTCCACCCTTCATCTGTTATTTTCTCTTTCATAGTTACTTAACACTACACCCTCTGCCTGGTGCAGTCCATCTCAAGGTCTTGCTATTATTGTTACTTTGAACAGTGTATGAGCAAGACGACAAGTTCACAGATTTCACAAGTTGTTGTTTTTTTTCTTGGTATGAGGTGAACTAAACTTTGTAGCCTTGGATAAAACACAAAATTAACCAAAATGTTTAATTAAATAGGTTATTTGTCAAATTTGATAAGCATTATGTTGTGAAGTGTTTCTTTAAACACAAAGGTTGATTGAAGTTCTGTGCTGGGAAGACACTGGGCCTCATGCAAGAACCAGTCATACGCACAGATTTGTGCTATATACGAGCCATTAAAGGGAAACTGTGGCTTTCACAAATTTTTGCATACTTGAATTTTCTGTAAGGTACAAATAAAATTCACACTTGGTCCACATCTTTCCAGCATGTCATGAGCAGATGGTCTGCCTTTCTTCACGGTGGGAAAACACGTCTAACTTCATGGATCCTAAACTATTGCCTCTTCATGAGTGTCACAATATGCTGCTGCTTTGATGACGTAATGTTGGCAGCCATACTATTAATAATACTAGAAGGGCAAATGTCCTATTCCACAATGTCAAAGGTGCAATAGACATTCAGAACATTAATGTAGCTGCAAACCACTATTTACTATGTGAAGATACAGTGGAGTAATGGCGTCCTGAGCACAGAATAAAGTCACGCTCCCTCTGTGTGTGTGTGTGTGTGTGTGTGTTGTGATCCCAGCTTCTCTGTTATGTGTTGTGGTAGCCGGGCCAGGCAGTGTGTGCATGTGAGAGTCCCTCCCTCCTTCTTGTGTCATGTCCCCTCTAGCTAGCTAATTGCTAACGCTCTGCATTGCGTGCTACCCAGGCCGAGCATGTGTGGAAGAGTGATGCTCATACTCTGGTGTTCATATGGCAGTTACAGCTGATTACACTGTCCTAACCCACCTTGGACGTGAATATCAGCAGTAATTGAATTATTCTTTTTACTCTTGTATTACATTTGTAAATAAATCTTGCCCACACAGAGCAGAACAACTGACCTTATAGGACTATTTTAGGGGTGTCTATTACACTAATGATAAAATCTCATGATGTGAATGTCCTCATGAACAGGTGGATTCATCAGTCTGACATAAGCGATTAATGAGGAGTTTTTGCAGTAAAGAGAGTTCTGTGAATCAGAACAGAAAATTTTTTGATAAAAATTGCAAAGGTTCTTGCATGAGGCCCAATACTAGGTTTCTGGTGTCGTGTCTATGGGCTTTCTTAACATAGTGATGCTGTTTCCATCACACACCATCTCTGTCCTCCGTTCTGGTGTCCTTAAAGCAAGCATGTACAAAAACCACCATAAGGAGAAATGAAGACTTATGAGGGGTTGTTTTTTAAACATGTGCCCTTTCAGCATGCAGATACAGTAAAGCTGTGTTTACACTGTACAATTTGAGCCCATTGTAGGAATGTTGCCAGCCCCCACTGTACAGGTAAATTGTCTGCAATGTCATGCCAAAACTCGCAATTTATGGGCTCACAATGTTGGTGCAATCGTCAAGCCACAACCTGAGTGCTCACACTGTATGTGTAAAATAGACAATAAAACGGTCCATCGGCACCTGTGGACTGTACTTGCTATTGACAGTTGTCAATAAAGATTTATTTGAAAACTCCAGCACTGTGGGTAAGTCAAAGTTTGTTTGCTCACAGAGGTACAATTTACAAATACAGAGACATACATTCCAAAAAGAGATTGAAAGTCAATTTCTGCAAAAATGGGTCAGTCCAAATTTTGGTTCCTCCTTTTCCTCTCAGTCTCCCTCTCTTTCATTTTCTTCTATACACACTCACAAGTTAGCATGTTAGCAGTACCAACAAACTAGCTGGGTATCAGCTACACTGTACTTTAAATTCGGAAAAAAGGCACTGACCTTGGGAAATGTATTCGTATCTCTGCTTTAACTGTGTGACAGCCAAATTTCTGGCATGTCAGAAAGTGATCCCTGATCAGGCCACGATCCGTTCTTGCTCTCCCCTGTGCACTGTATGGCAAACGACCCCGTCAAAGCTGAAATTCTGTCCGACTCTTAGATGAGTACTGTGTATGCCCAGGGGTTTAAATGGAAGGACTCAGGTCATGTTTCTTCATAAATTCGAGATGCTGTACAGTAAATCCAAAACTCTTTCAGCTCCACACATTTTCTCCTCATCTCATTTCTTTCACCTCCTTCTCCTCATCTCCCTTTCCCTGTGTCCTTCCCAGCATTAGTATTCTAGAGCTATATATCGTGTACAATAGGATACACTGCTGAAGGTCTGATAACCAACAACAATCCCAGCATCATTTGTGCGCTGTCTCACTGCTGTCACACACTCTTAGCGAGACAGAACACAGGAGGGAGAGAACAATTGCTGGGGAGAGTTGGTGTGCTTCTTTGTCAATGACACAGGACAAAACCATGGAGTAGGAGGCAAAAAAGAGAGAGGAGATAGCTAAAGATTAGATGAAAAGTTTATTGCTCCCAGTTATGTGAAACAAAGAAGCTGAAAAAAGGCATAACTCTTGTCAGAATAATTTTGACTCTCAGATTTCGCCTCAGGTGATACAAATAAGGTTCTCTCTTGCTTTTACAGACGGTTAATGACATGCATGAGGAGAATTAGTCCGAGGGGAAATGATTCAACAGTTTTAACATTTCTTGGGGTTACATGTTTTAGTTTTTGTTAAATTTACTGTGTAGGTGATCAGTAGAAACATGTTTTGGGCTGTCTTTTGTATCTGAGAATATTCAAGCTATTCCACCATGATCACCGCTTCATCTGTATTCTGTAGTGAGGAGGTAGGTTACACTGAAAACACTGACTGGGTCCAGCCAAACAGGCAGAGCCAGAGGGGGGCTACAGCCAAACTCATGATTGTTTATATAGCATCAGTTTTCACTCTTTCTTCATTGTGATTGATCAGCTCACAGAAACACAATGTGCTGCTGGCTCATTTGGCTCAGTTGCACATACTCATTACATCCCTTTTTAAAATCCAGTGTGGGGTTTTTGTTACACTTTCACACACCTCACTTCTTGTTCCTTATACTGTCCTGCTTATGTATGTTCTTTTCTCAGAGACTAAGTTTATATGCACACAAATATTCCACTGTTATAAGTGGTATTGAATTTAGCATTTTCCAATGAAGTCATTTTGGATATGGTGGTATTATTCAGGCTTAGGAGCAGTCTTTGGACATGTACACAGTGCATTCTGAATAGCCATCTCAATTTGTAACATATGACCTTGAGCCACTTTGCAGTCAGGGCTGTGTGTTGCCATGGATATGTTGCATACAAACCAACTAACCAGCAGTTTGTAAGGCTGTGGCAGACACGCATGTCAACATTTCTGTTCGGAAAGAGAAACACACCTACTTTTAAACACTATGAAAGACTTGGATATGAACAGGTTTTTGGATATGTGTAAATATCACAACACTGGCCTTTCAGATGGTCAAAGGATAAACGAGGGAGTCTCTGTTTGCATGGTTGAATGGTTGAAGTCGGCCACTGGTAGAAAAAACCTCCTATTGCACAAGTAGCTTCAGCAGTTATACTTTTTTCCATATTTTGATGTGATAAATGACATGTTAGGGCATGTTTATTGGACTGCTGGGCTACATGTTAACGAGAATATTAGTGGAATATTCATTTTCATCAGCCATTTAAACAGCTTAGTTTAAATATTGTCTTTTTCAGAATAAGTGCAAAAACCGGACTATTGTCTGCATGTAAACATAGTCATTGTGTGATTGTAAAAATATGTTTGTAAAAATAGTAAATGTGTGAATGTGTCCTTCCAGGCCTGCCGCTATGGCCACGTGCAGCACCTGGAACACCTGCTGTTCTACGGAGCTGAAATGAGCGCCCAGAATGCATCTGGAAACACCGCCCTGCATGTGTGTGCTCTCTACAACCAGGTACCATTTTTTTTTAAAAATGTGTTTGTGTGTTTGTGTCCCGGGGGTGTGGAGTCTTCTGTGGAATTACATTCATGTTGGACAGTTGTGCACGATTTGCACCCAATGCCAATGTTCAGTGCCAATGCAGGAGTGAGTGTCATATTCACATAACAGGGTGAAAAGGTCGTTTGATACCTTGTTTCCACCAAGCAGGGGTTTCCATTGTCAAAATTTGAACCACTCCATCTCGTTTTTTCGTTACCGTCTTTGTTTGGGTACCTAGCACACTAATCCAGTGCTAAAAGTGGAGCTAGAAATGCTGCAGTCTGTTAATCGGTCAGCAGAGAATAGACACTGGCATGGCAATGAGTGAAGTGCAGACATTGTCGATGAAGAGGAAATACAGCAAGAGCTTGATGGAGCAGTGACGCAGCTATTAGCATCTTGTACACAACCCCAGCCTAGATAAAGAGTACTTCCTTTAGGTACATGTGCATATGGGTTACATATGGTTCTTAGGGTACCATACGGAAAGTGTTTGGTGCCCTATCTTAGAGTCTGTTAAATTTCTTAGATAAATCACCATGACCACAATCTTTCCCTAACCTTAACCAAGTGCTCTTAGTTGCCTAAACCTAACCATACTGTATTTGTCACACATAGACTTTGTATAGAGACAACTAGAAAGCACTTACAGTGAATATTCACAAATGTTGTCATTGAAGTCGGTCATCCAGAATCATGCAGTGTAAATGTTGTGTTGGTAGGTGGGTTGGTGTGTCTGTATATGTGAATTGTAGCATGTATGTTTGAGCATTATGTAAGTACATATGTATGTAAGCTTTTGCCTGTCTTCCAAGAGTTGTATGTGCTGCAGCATTTAATCTGGTGGGACTTCAATGGCTTACTCAAGGACATTTATGTAACACAGAGACTTATTGTTACTGTCTATGGCCTTCTGAGTTGCAGGATAGCATTCACACCATGCTTTTCCTCTTCGTGTGTGTGTGTGTGTGTGTGTGTGTGGGTGTGTGTGTGCACGCGCGCACATACATGTACACCTGTGTGTACTTGAGTGGCAGGCTGGAAGTAGAGGTATCCTTTATCTGGTCATTATCTCCACAGTGTTTGTTGCCTGTTATGATAATGGACTGAGAGAGGAGATTGAAGAGAAGTGGACCAAGTGGGAGTGTGGCACCAAAATGGCCAAAGATCAGTGATATTTCAGTCATGTGGGTTTCCATCACACATTTATGCACTATGTGGTTTGGATAAGAGCATTAAACAGTGTTTTGTTGTAGTTTATTATTTTTTGATGCTCTGTATTTAAAATGTGGCTCATACCAGAGAGTATCAGTGCCAGACTGGGACTGTGTGCACTTGTACAGAGTCATTATTGAGCTGTCCTCATCAGGATCAATGATTCACTTTGATTCTTTGTACAACAGTGACAACCTCAAGCTCTCATTCATTCATGAATACACACTGAGCATCTTACCTTGGTCTGTATTTCCAATCATTGTCATAAAGGATATGTTGCACTGCACGGTGTAGTCTGGTAAATAGTTCCTACGTGAAACTGCTCACAAAAAGGTCTTTGGATTATCTTGAATAACTGGGTCATGATTTCTTGAAAGAGACATAGCAGTTCCGTTTTACCGTTTTAGTGTCATGTAGTTCTTTTATATTCAAAAGGCAGACATCTCTATGGCCAGTATTTCCAACACTCAGCAACTCACACCAAAACAAGTGATAGATAGCTCTACAGGTGAGAGGAAAAATATGTGTTTTTGATCTTGGGGTGAACTGTCCCTTTAAAGTATAAGGCTGACGCTTTTCTTTTTGTCAATAAATCCCATTAAAAATATTTATTCTTTAGCAAATTATACTCATATGGGAAAGAGTAGTGCATTTGTTGGGGACTATTTTCAGCTGCACATTAACACACATTTGCTCTGGTGAGTATTTACAGCGGCAGAACAGTGTTAATGGCACTGATGCAAAATAAACAACAGTGGCCATGTTTGTGCTAATGAATGTCACCCAGTGCAACAGTGATGTGTTTCTAATAGTTTTTAGACATCAGTAAATGTCTGTAGCGCTGAGGAATATGCCATATCAGACTTTGGCTACACAGAGTCATGTTCATTTTGGTCTTGTCATACTATTTGTTGGCAATAAGAAAAATATAGAACATTTCCAAACTTATCCTGTCACTAATATTCAATGGTTTCCACAACATTCTCCATCAGCTTGATTCCTCTTGGAGACATTTTTTGTGCATACCTTGCAGTCCCCAAGAGAGGAAGTTCTCACTGCCTGAGATGATGGTTGGAGTGTCGGTATTTTGTATTGCACTCTATGTGATATTCCGAAAATCATATTTGGCACAGTTGTAGCAGCTCATAAAGTAATAATATAAGTTTAGGGTCTTGTGAGGTTGTGATGACAGGAAAGAAATACATAGAGTGCATGTTTTAAAATATGAATGACTGTGTTCTATATCAAGAGAGGTACATGAGGACACTGGGAGATGAGGGCAGTGAAAACCAGCATACTCCTGGGAATATGATGATATGATGTCATTAGGTACAGTGTGCCCATGTGTTGCGTTGTCCTGTTTGGTTAGAGGCTGCTCACAGAGAGACTTGTAACTGGGCATTCTGGGAGAGGCTTTTCTGCTCCCTCATTGGAAAACAGACAGTAGTGCCGAGTTCATGAACATTAAATGAACATACTCCTCTCTTTTACTCTCTCTCTTTTGCATATGAACAAGTGAAAAATGTGTGCATGCATGTGTGTGTGTGTTTGCGTGTTGTAAATGTAACTACGTACTGCTCGACTAATTCCAGTCATGAGGAATGACCTGCTTCAACTGGACTGGAACACCATAGTCTCAGGAGAGACAGAAAGAGAGGGAGAGTGAGTGTGTGTGTGTGTGTTTCACCGCATGGGTTTTGGAAGCACAGCATCAAAACTTAATACGAGCTGTTTGTAACACATCCACGTGACTGAAGTCATTACGTGTTCCACCTCTCAGGGGAGGGACTGCCAGAGTGTGTGTGTGTGTGTGTGTGTGTGTGTGTGTGTGTTTGTGTGTTGAGCAAGAGTGGATGTAATCAAACAGAGGATGGATGAATAGTTTAATTTACAGTTACTTGTACAACTTGTAATGGACATGGTCCCAGCTCTTGTGTGCTTCCACTGCTAAGGATGGCTGTTATCTTACCAGCGGAGGTCAAACACCACGTTGAGCTGATTGATCCCACTAACGGTGTCTCTTAGCAGGGTTCCAGCAGACTCCAAACAGGCCTGGCTTGGATGATTATGTACCATTACAGAAAGAAACAGGCTGGTAGAATTGACGGTGAAAGAAGTAGTCCAGGCTGGGATCAATAAATCAATATGGAGAGAGAAAGTGAGTGTCAAGAAGAGGGACAGATAGATGAAGGTGGCAGAGGGGAGATGAATGGGAAGATAACATAATCAGCAACAGTGTAAGCTTGATCAATGGTCCTAAAGTCCAATTGCTGGGATCTGGCTGGCCATTAACATTTACTTAGTGGGGTTTAGCTTTGCACATGTGATCAGCAGCAATGAATGAATGCATGGCGGGGGTCTTCTACCTGGCAGACAGAACCATGGGAGATGGTTGGATGGATGATTTAGAAAGGACACAGTAGGTAATGGCAAGTGGGGACAACACTGATGAGTGAAATTAAAGAGAGGTGGCGCAACACACACACAACTGTTCAAACAAGTCAGACCAATGAAACCTTGAAGCAACTCTATAATAAGCTGTATTGAGAAAGTATCACTGTATTTCATGCTACTGTTTTGTATTATGCTGTTGTTGTGCACAATAATGACAATCAATTCAGCTCTTAATTAAGGTCTTTCAGGCTTAAATTAGGCTCATCACGGTATTATGGTTTATCAGGGCATTCAAAAATCCTGACGGTATGATTTTCAGCACCATCAAATATACAGGCGCTTCCTTTTCTTTTAAACTCATTGTATGTCGTGCACAGCATGCGCGACCAGGGGTAAGTCTCCAGCCCAAAAAGGCAGCTGGTGGTGTTTGAGGTAACGTCACAGAACGCTAAACAGGCGGCCAGCAACAGAGCGAAAAACAGCATATATTTACATCTTGTTTGAATTAAAAGGTTATTTTAGCCAACAGGAGTTGATGATTGTTGGAACAGTTAACTGACTAACTACTTTTTTTCTGTTAAAGGTTTTTTTGGAGAGTTTGTCCTTATCTGCTTTTAGGGTCCAAGGACCTCCGAGGAGGCAAATACAGATTTGTGATATTGGGCTTTATAAATGAAATTGAATTGAATGAAATGACTAACAACACTAACCAATACAGTTTTGGTGAGTTTAGTTTTGTTGTTAGTTTTAGTTTTTGAGTTTGATTTAAGTGTATTTAACCTTGAGTTAATGAGGCAATTTAGCTGGTTGTAGTTTGATGAAAGACAAGATTCCCACGGTCATGGAAAACAGTGAAACGCCATGGAATTCCACAATCTTGTTTTCCAGGCCTGGAAAAGTCATGGACTAAGTAAAATACTTGAAAGTCAATTAACTGTTACAGTAATCATTAGGGCTGGGTTTCACGTCGATTCACGTCGGTATTACCGAGTACCGATTCACTTAAAATGAATCTGTGCCAAATTTCGGTACCTCAGGTGGAGGTGGAGTGAGAGCGCATGACTCCCACCTCAGACTCAGCAACAATGGCGACAAAAAAAATGTGCAGACAAAAGTTAATGTGCAGCACTTTTCCTAAATGTTTTCAATAAAATGTTGAAACTGAGAAGTTTAGACTATGGGCCCGAACGACGCACAGTGCGTCCAAATTCACACCCGTTCTTCTCTGTGGATTTCCTCCGCGACCGTGCGTCATAGCGAGAAGCCACGCATATCACGTGAAACAGCAGAACTGTAGCTTTCCGACAAGGCCAAGCACCTGTTGGTAATCCAATGGTTTCACAGCGAAAAAAATTGATAAAGTT